GAAATTATACGTGTCTGAGATGATAGATATGCTAACGACCCTGATCTGATCACTCTACATTATATGTATTGTAATATCACTACATACCCCATAAATACATATAATTTTTATGTATTAATTAAAAAATTTTAAAAAGAAGCAATTGAAGACAAGACAAAAACTGAAAAGGAAAAAAATTTAACTCTGAAAACGATTTCTTCATGTTTTAGTAAATAATTACTGTAGGTACTATTGATATTTTTATTAGTTATCCTTTAATGAACATTACATTTGGCATGGAAATTGATTCACTCAACAATTGTCCCCAGACCCCACACCTGTGGACTCAGCTATGGGCATTCAGTTCAGAATGATTTGAGCTTTTGTCGAGAAAAATTCTTATTTCCAGCCCCTTGATACTTTATAGATTCCTGCCTTTAAACAGTAGATTTGAAACAAACATTTTAGCACAGAGAAGATTATAAAGAAGAAACAGACCTAGAGTTACTTCAACCCTGTCATTCTATGTGACCATTCGTGTTTAAAATTTTAAAACAGTGAAAGAAAGAAGGAACTCTGTAAAGTGTATTATTTCAGTTTGGTAAGTACACATTTTGGCTAACATGAGAAATGTATTTGTGTTATTTTATGATTATTATTGAGAATAACTCTGTTGTATGGAAGAATGGGGCATTAAAATCTGACCTGCTCTGGGCTATGTAGGTAGGTAGGCTACTGGAATGGATTTAGGGCAGCAATTGGGTAAGAAGACAGGGCTAGGGGCTTTGCCTTTAATTGCTATTTGCATAGCAGTTCCTACAATTTTATATAGATCATCTTTTACTAGTCTAGAAAGATAATAATGATCTCTAAAGTGTCTTTTAGCCACACTCGACATAGGAATGAGCAGTTTTTAATGTAAAAAGATAAAAACATGAAATGGCATCTACATGTAAGTCATCACAATAATGATGTTCAATCTGGCATTAGTGCAATGACATATATATCAAAACATATCACATTTATTCCACTCTCAAAACAAACAAACAGAAAACAAGGCTCAGGTAGCTGAAAAGTTAGAGAAGTGCTTTTCTTTTGGTGTGTAGAAAGTGAGAGCATCACATGTACATTTCACGTTGAAGCCCTTGACTGCTTTTGAATTTGCAAACAGAGCCGCTTTGTTATCCTAGTTATGTTTTCCCATTAAATCTTTGGTCACTCCCAGAGGACAGAAGGACTGGTCAGGCTGGCACATAGGGCTCCCTGGGGTGGGGCACACATAGACTACAGGGGGTTGAGCCCTCCCCAATCCGCACCCCTCCCCACCCTGGCACTATCACTTTCTTATCATCATCTGGTGCTTTATTCCTTGGGTTCTGAGACTAGAACTTAGAACTGGGAGTTCATTTTTTGGCTCAAGAATACAGCCTTGTTGGCTGAGTGCAGTGGCTCCCGCCTGTAATCCTAGCACTCTGGGAGGCTGAGGCGGGTGGATCGCTCAAGGTCAGGGGTTCGAAACCAGCCTGAGCAAGAGCAAGACCTCATCTCTACTAAAAATAGATGTTAATTGGCCAACTAAAAATATATAGAAAAAATTAGCTGGACATGGTGGCACATATCTGTAGACCCAGCTACTTGGGAGACTGAGGCAGAAGGATTGCTTGAGCCCAGGAGTTTGAGATTGCTGTGAGCTAGGCTGATGCCATGGCACTCCAGCAAAAAAAAAAAAAAAAAAAAAAAAAAGGAATACAGCCTTGTTGCTAAGGCATGGATCTGTTGATGGCTAACCTAAAAAAAATTCTTTAAGAATGAAACACATATTTGGCTCCCTGGGAGAAGAGCCCTGGCATCCACTCCATGGAAGCAAACTTGATTTCTTCCCAATTTTTGGTCAGTTCCAGCAATTGTTACTGCCTGATTTTCACCCCCACTCCCCACTCCCTTTCCTCTTGCCTCGGGGATCTGCTGGTCATCTAAAATGCCTTTCTCCTGCCAGCTCTTTTCCGCACTTCAAGATTCAGGGTCCTGTGAACAACGTTGTGATTGTCTGTTCATCTGCACAAAGATCTCATGTAAACAGGACAGAATTTACATCTTAGTTGTATTTAAGAGAGCTCATGAATACTGTGAAATAGTTTTTGTTATAAGAAAGCAAACGTTATTGCAAACTAAGGGAATCTAGGCAATTTCTTTCTTTTACTATCTCTATTATTGAACATATTTGTAATTTGCTAAGCACAAAAGTCCCCTCATAGCCGCTCTTGAACATTCCTGCAGAGAATTCCGAATGCCATGGTGATGATTAAGGTATTATAAATACGTAAATAGCATAATGGCCTCCATTTGTGAACAAATAATAACCAAATTTGGCTTCCCTGTAATGGTAGCACTGAGTCCTATTTTTAAGGATTCTGCTTAGAAATATTGCAGACAAAAAAAATGAATAAAGTAAAGGAAGGTTGAAAAAAAATCATTTAATTTTATGATTATAATTATTGATAAAAATGGTTGGAATGGAATCATTGGAAAGCCTTATTCTCATAAATATCATTGCTAAAAAGTATTTATACACTTTTTTCAAACGAAAATGTTTATAATATAATGAAATTATTACAGTATAATATAATTAAAAACTCATGTCCTCCAGGTCTATCAAATATCAACATTTTCCCATATTTGCAGACTAGCAAGGGTGTATAGTATAATGTTTAAGGGCATAGACTCCAGAGAGATTTCTGTAGGTATAATCCTAGTTCCATTAGTTAAATAAAGTCCTTGCTATATAACCTTGTATATTTGTAAACATAGAAAAGTTACAGCGAAAGTACAATATTATAATCATATGATACCACCATTGTATATGCAGTCTGTCCTTGACTGAAAAAGTCATTATATGATACATAACTGCATTTTAATAGACATAAAGAGCTTAGAGAAATGTCTGGGATACTCAACAAATGTTTGGCATTATAATTTTCTTACGAGTAAAAATAATAATTTTTTTTTACATTTTTAATTTGAAATATGATTGAAGATGCTTATGTTCTCCTACCTGCCTCCGTATCTCTTCAGAGTCATTGTCATTCTGAATTTATGTTTGTCATTTCCAGGCATACTTTAATTTTATTACTACTACACTTATAAAAATGTGTCCATTGATTATTTTTTGTACCTTTAAAACTTTATATTAATGATATCATACTGTACATATTGTCATACAACTTCTTTTTTTCCTTATTGAGATATACACATGATTTTGTTAATTGATTGAATAGCTATTAAATACCTCATTGTGTGACCACTATTTATTGTCTAGTTGACAACTTAGGTTGTTGCTAATTCTTTTGCTCTTACAAACAATGATACAGTGGCCATTATTGTACAAATCTCCTTGGATAACTATACCTGAGTTTTTCTGGATTATGTAGCTAGAAGTTTAATGATTAGATCAAAGAAAATGCTTTTTTTATTGAATATTGCCAAATTGCTTTCCAAAGCAGTTGCCTCAACTTAGGATCATACTGGCAGTGTGTAAGAATCCCCATTGTTTCCCACTGCAAGAATTCCCACTGCACCAATGCTTGATATTGTCAGACTTATAAATTTTTCCCAATCTGATTGATATGACATAACCTCTTGTTTTAATTTGCCAATTTATAGTTTCTAATTATGTAAAAGCTCCTTTGTAAGTTTATTGGGCACTTAGATTTCCACTTCTGTGAATTTTCTGCTCAGATTCTATCTCCACTTTTCTATTAGATTATTAGTCTTTTTCTGAGTGGAGTGTAGGAGTTAACTCCCATTCTACAGCAATCTAAATTAGTTGCTCAAGAACATAAATACTATCATATAAAAATATGATTATCTTCATGAATAAAAAATTAACTATGCTTGATTTTTCATAATTGACTGTGACAGAAAATTAAAAATGAAATTTTGATTAAAAAACAATTGACATGCCATTAATATGTTTTCCGAATGTTAGACTCAAAATGAATAAGGCACATGCTCAGAAGATTAGACAGATACATTTATTTTTACGTGTACACAGCTGAGGTTCAATAAATGTTAATTAGTCTGTATTATATAACTCATGAACAATGGTTAACAGTAATTACTTTATTAAGATTTACACATCATATTTCTTTAGGGTATACTTCTATTAGAACTCAATGTAAAGCAATCTTTTCCTCTTTGACAACTAAGTTATTTAAGGTTGCATGTCCCACTAATACGACCATGATACAGCAAGCAAAAAGGACTATAAATTATAACAAAACATAAAAACCCCAATGTCAAAATGTTTCTACATGCTCTCAAAAATTAGCTACCAAAGAGGAAAATAAAGGATTTTGTACAGGTCATATAGAACATTATATACCAAGTATTATTCTTTTAAGAATAATAAAAATTGCAAGGATTGATCATAAGCAAAAATAGGAAGCAGGCTAAATTTCATCCTCGGCCTTTTGTCCATCTAAGGTGTTTCTCTCCTCTGAAGTAATATGTGTTCTACGCCCTCACATTTTGTCTCAGATTAAAATCTCCACACTAGAGAGCATTTAATTTTTATGATATTTGTAAATCTTTGTAAGAGACTATTTGAATCTTCCACCTAGACTTTATTATGCACTGAAAACAAATCCATCCATTGCTCAAAGGCATTCCAGGCAGCACTGAAAAGGCTGGGCAGCAAGGGTGGGGAGAAGGTCTCTTGGTGATTGGAAGGTGATCATCGTGGGGTCCTGAAGTCACACCTTTTGGGTTGTTAGCTGTTCAGACGATGAACCAGGCCAGCCCTGGTAAAGATGTGTATGTGGTCAATACTAAAGTGGGCAAAACTTGGAAAACAAACCAAAGCAAGAAATTTGAGGAATGTACAAAGCAGCAGTACATAATCATATAAGTTCTGTAGTTTTATTTTCATTGTAGTAATGCTTACTTTCTTCTGGGAAAGGGAACATTGAGGCTTTGGAGTTGATATTACAAGAGAATACCCAGCATAAAGAGGCACACTGGAACAGAGAGCAGACCCAAAGGTAAATCGCTCATGGATGCTATGTTGAGCTGGTTTGAGAGCTTAGGGGTTGAAAAAGAATGCAGTGTAAAGAATTATAGAGCAAGCCTTAGAGATGTAAAATACTTCAGGGAATATTTGAGTTTTGGAATGCTCACCTTAAGTCTGAGTAAAGATCTGTCAAAAATCTATGTAAGAAGCATAATGTTAAAGTACTCCAATGATAAAGCCTGTTCCTTTTGCCTCAAAGGACAATATTTCTGACATAAGGAAGGATTTTTAATCCTAAAACTGGGGAGGATTCCATGTAGAAGGCCAGAAATGCATTTTTTCCCCCATAAAAATGTGGCCAGGCTTCAGTTTGGCAATCTGCGTAAGAGAACATTTGTGCGGGAGACATTTCTATTGGAATGGTCCAATCATTGTGTTGCTTTCTCTGTTGACTGATATTTTGAGAAAAAGCACCACTGTTGCCGTCAGAGGCCAAATGAAATGATTCACTTCAGGGCATTTCAAAATAAAAATAAAAGTAGCAAATATGATTTAGGCATAGAACATTCCCGAACTAATTTAATTGCATATTTCTTTAAAGTAGACAACCACCTGGAAGCAGTCATAACAACAGAAACAGCAAATCAATTTTGGTGAGCAAACTAAGTTAAATATTAAGATCTAATAATATACTGTCTTGGAAGCAGCTGTGAGTTTATTTATTTCCTTTTGAGAACAGTGCTAATAGTTTATAAACCTAGCGTGCATCTATTATCTTATCCTCACTGAAAACAGAATTATTGATTTCTACTAAAAATAAAACCATAAATAAGAACATATCTCTAAGGCTTATTGGAGTTATACAGTGTTTCTATCAAATATATTACTAGGAAGCAGGTTTGAGATTTTATTTTCTGGGAAAGGCTTTCAACTCTTCAAAATGACATACATAGAAAAATCAAATAATATATATGTCTAGGTATTTGTGTGTTCTCTTCAAAAACTTTTATTATCTAGACAAATGTATGAGCTGTATCATAATTAGAAATTAATATAAAGGGCTCTTTGATTTTAGTCAGTATCTCAATAACTCAATATGTAAGATATGTCCCAATTTCTTGTTCAAAGACAAAGATACAATTGGATCAGGTTTTCCCCAAACCAACTAATCTAGCATACATAGCGCCTTGAACTAAGGATGTTTTACAGATATGGAGAAGAAGGCTGTCTAGGCAAACTGAATTTCAGTCTTTCAACCCAAAGAAGCTACTTGTTATAAGTCTTGAGATGATGTTTACCTGCTCACTTTTAAGTCAACTCATTTTTTTTCTTTAAAATAAAATAAATTCTATTTTCTGGTATTATTAAAATATGCATATACAACTATATACATATAGGTTTGGTTTTTTTTAAACACTATCTACTGAGGAGATCTAGTAAAACAAGAAACATAGTTCCTATTTTATAACTCTAGACAGTCAGCTGCTGCTTCCAGGGAAGGAAAAGTCTAATGTTATAATGCAACTTAAACTGGGTGGAGATGGGGTGGTGCTATGTGATTTTAACAGGTTTCTCTCAGTTCTATCTGAAACCGGGAATATGTTAGGAAGAGACAATATATATTAAAACACATTTTATAAATCTCAACTTATTAAAATGAGTTTGGAAGTAATTAAGCTTTAAGATTCCTGCAACAAATTCTATATTAATTATCAATTAATTCATGATTTGCTAGAACCCAAGATTCTGGTCATATTAGCTCTGCTCTAAAACAAATACCAAATGGCTTCAAAGAAATGTCTACTTATGTCAGGAATAACACATATTAAAAAGGAAAGAGAAAAGATGTTTTACATTCTTCTCAGTGGTGAAAGCAGAATAATTGAAAGCTAGCTTTGTATCATGTGAACAGTTCAGTTGTTAGAGAGCCTGAATATATGTTTCCTAATAATAGGATCAAGGCTAATACGTAGTAAAATCACTCTTGACTAAAAGAGTATGACATTTTCTTCTTAAAACTAAGGTGGAAGTTGATTAACTTATTTTTTTTTCCAGGGGAAAATATCAATTTTCCATTCTTATTACAATTTGTGGCATGTGAGTGAGATATGGCCTTGAACACAATGAATCAGAGCAGTGTCCTGGTCAACACTTCCTTGACTATTTGTTAACAGGCATTTTTGGAGATTTCTGGCCATTCCACTTCTCCACGGTCACAATAAATTACAGCTATCCATTTTCAGATCCGCTCTTGGGTATTATTTCAGTGGCATTAGCATTAAAATACATTTGTTAAAGATAAATGAATTAAGCCTAAGAATGATGACAATTTTTTTTTAAAAAAAACCCTTATAGTTCTAGAATATGCCTCTCTTTAGATTCAAGATTAGCTGACATCAATTTACCCCATTAGTTGCTTGGGGCGAATTGGTCAAATAGCATTTGACTAACATTATGAGATGACAAGCTCTCCTTTAATGAATTTGATTATGTATTCACCAGCTCTGTGCATGTGCTGCTTTATTGGTCTACAGATTACATATGTAAGGTATAAGCGCATATGTTGAGTCACGCATTTCCCTCTGTCTTTCATTAACCCTTCTGTCTTTCCTGAAGATGGTTTCATATATCTCAGTATAGGTAATCAAGCCAAAGGAGAAAGTGATAAATGGCAAATGGTTAATTGTTGTGGGTACCAGATGAGTCAGGCAAAAATATAATGAACGTGAATTTGTAGGCTGTGAATTTTCAAAATGGCAGAATAAAATAACTTGGAGAAAACAGATTTGGTTAAACTTGGGTCTGGGGGGCTCAATTGTATCTGACCCATGTAGACTACAGTGAGACAATTACGGGTCCTATGCTGCCACCAGAATCATGTATACATATTTAAATTATTATTATTTTTTATTTCAAAATGTGACTGGGGTATAAATGTTTTTGGTTACATGTATCCAGAATCATATTAATAGATGTAAAAATTCATTGGCTTCTAAGCAACTGCATCGCACTGTGAGCTCATGTTGAGCTTATGGTCATTAATACCCTTGGGTCCTTCTTTGCATGAGTTGCTATCAAGGTGAAGCTCTCAGCCTTGTAACTCTTCAATTGATTTTTAAAAATCCAGATGGAGAATTCAGATGTATTTTGAATAACATCCATCTTGATGTCTCTGGCTCTACTTCTGGTCTGTCGACATAATTTTTAAATTTTGATTCTTTGTAATACCATGTTAACCGTTCTTTTTAGATCATATCATCTTTAAATTAGATGAGCATCCTTTCTGTGTCTTGACAAAGGCATTTGTAAGAGCTCTGGTTTCTAGAACTTTTGAGGTTAATTATTTTAATTTGAATAACTTTTTTTTAGCCTCAAAACAATACTTGTTTCTGGTAGAAAATGTAAGACAATAACAGATTTAAAAAAAAATTAAAAATCTCTATCACATCTCCATAATATAAATAATATCAACATTTTGTGGAATACCATTTCACCCTTTTCTAATTTGAGGAAAATGGACTTAAGAAATTAGGAGCATATGTTATGTATGTCTTTGAAACTATGGATGGAACCCATAGCCATATTGTTAAAATTCATTCCATCAACACAACATTAAAGCGTTGTGTAATTTTTTTTGGTACATATTTTACCTAACAAACTCTTCAGTTAGGGGCTTTATGATATATATATATATGTGTATATATATATATACACACACACATATATACACACACACACATATATATATATTGCTTGCTTTATATATACATACATATATATATATATTTTTTTTTTGCTTGCTTTATAAAATAAAGCTATGGTACACCCTTGTAGATAAAACTCTAAATACATCTGAAGCCAGGGATTTTTACATCTTTCTGAAGGAGATATTTTTCCTACATTGTAAAACAATGACTTCTAAAGTGGTTTGCTCACAGAACCTTCTGTTCCTTGATCACATTTTTTAAAATTCATCACACCTTTCTCCTTATACACAGGAACTCCTTGTCACCTTTCTCTGCCTTGTTTTTTCCAGAGCCCTCATCACAATTTAACACATTATCTAAAGTTAAAAAAAATTGTCAATTTTTTTTACTTGCTTATGATCTATATTTCCTCCCTACTATAATACAAACCCCATAGGGCAAATTTTTGTGTTCTTCACTGCTTTATTGGCAACACCTACAGTAGCTGTCACTTAGTAGTAAGTTCTCAGTAAATATCTGTTGGAAAACTACAAAAGGGTCTAGTTTCTTGGGGATCTTAAAATTCCCAGGGCAACTCTAGCTACACCCCAGCCTTCCCCCACAATTCTCTGACAGCTTGCAGCATTCCCTTTCTGCAATGATGATAATGTGCACTCATTTATTTCTTTATTTGAAGAAGGACAGTTCCCTTTTCCTCTCTGGGTCACAAGAGGGCAGGAGGCTGCATGGAAGCTTGCCTGTATGTCATCCATGCAATGGTTTATTCTAATCTTTCTAACAACCATACTGCTAGGTTTTACTCATTATGCCAGTGAGAACAAGGGGCTCAGGGAGGTTGAATAATTTGCTGAGGTCGCCCAGTTAGTGATAAAATGTTCCTAATAAATGATGACACCGTGCCTCTTACTAACCAGCTGCGTGACTCTGGACAAGCGATTTAATCCTTCTGATTCTGTTTCCTCATTTATAAAATTAAGGAGTTCGATCTGATTTCTGAACCTGACACTTTAAAATTATTTCGTGACCAGTATGACCTATGTATCTCTTTAAGGATTATTATTAATTATGTTTTGACACAGGAACTTTTTCCTTTCTACTAATCTTTCTACTTCTTTTAAACAAAAGATGAATTTCTGCAGGACTGTTTCATTCCCAGAATTCTAAAAACCATAGACAGAAATAACCAGTCACATATTGTATTATAATAAATTTTCAGCCATTCCTTCATTCTGTGAAAATAGTACCCAATTACTTTTGTAGAATAATGACAATTATTGAGTCCTTGATGTCTGTTCAAGTGCATCTGAACTCTTTAATGTGTTAATCATTTAATCTCCCCAACAATGCTGTGAGGTATATGATATTATTATATCCATTTTACAGATAAGGAAACTCAAGTACAGAGAATTTGAAGGAAATGGTACAAGGTCATACAGAATAAGTGACAGAATCAGGATTTGAATCCAAGCTGTATAATTTCAAAGCCAGAACTCACAGAGACAACACAATAGTATATTACCCAGTGCCTAGAGATTGTTGGGATAGTGTATATCTTAGACTGGAGGGGAAAAGGTAGATTAATTCTATGATGTAAGAGAAAAACATATGACATATTTTGAAACCCAATTATATAAAATGAGATTATAATAGAAAACATACATTTTTTTTATTTCAGCATATTATGGGGGTACACATTTTAAGGTTTCAAATAATGCCCTTTCCCCCCTCCCCCCACAAGTCTGAGTTTCCAGCACAACTATCCCTCAGATTGTGCACATCTCACTCATTCTGTATGTATATACCCATCCTCCTCTCTCCTCCCACCTGCCCTATACCCAATTACTGTAGTTCCTATGTGTCCACTTAGGTGCTGCTCAGTTAATACCAGTTTGCTGGTGAGTATATATGGTGCTTGTTTCTTCCATTCTTGGGATACATTTTATATA